TGCTATGGAGACCATCTGGCCAACAAAGCTGAGGCTATTTACTGCCTGGCCCTTTAAAGGAGACCCTTGCCAGCATCTTGCATGATTCTGAGAAGCCACATTGTTTAAAAGGCAGGAAGCACAGAGCCCGTCCTTAAGCTGACAATACGTTGGCTGGGGAGGTGACACACACATAAAGCGCACAACAGACACAGCGGGACTGTGTCTGGAACAGGTCTGGGCACCTCTTGAAACGGCTATTTCCTCTTTTCTTTAAGATGATTTCTCTTACCCTATGTCCACGTCCTTCAAAACACAATTAAGATCTCTGGAATTCAGCTCAGCAAAACCAGTTGCCATGGAGTCGGTGGTGACGCATGTATGCACCATACAACCTGTGAAAGCCAGAAACGGCGTGAGGTGGGAACCCGACAGCAAAGAGGGAAGAAGCACTCCGCCTGTCTTGGAACAAGCATCCATCTATGTGGAGCATCGACTAAGTCCACACGGAAGAAGCACATTGGTCTGTGCGATCCCAGGATTGTGAATAATAAAATCCACATTCAAAGGAGGGAATGGTATCAGAGCTTAAATCATGAACACCTGGTTTGCAGAAAGGTATGGATGACAGTGGAAGCCCCAAATCGTTTGCAGAGCCCTGCATGGATTAAGCCTCGGGTGAATTCCCTGTGAACACAGCCGAGGGATATGGATAAACTGGCTATCAGACAGAGCCTTGTAAAGTCCATCAGGGGAGATATCGTTAGATTAAAATGTCACACCTGATCATTTGATTTCCCCTTTGACCCATTCTAAAGTTGTTTGTTTTTATTTTTTCCCCGCTTTCTGATTGAGGTTTTTCTGTGTTGTTTAGTCAGTGTGTGTGTGTGTGTGTTGTATTCTGTGTGATTTTCTGTATATTAAATCCAGGTTAGGTAGATCTATAGAGAGAGTAACTGGATTGATGATTACCTAGGGGCATGGCAGGGGAAGTGGGGGCGGTGGGGGAGCTAACAACGAGCACGGAAGGTAAATGTGCTGAAATTGATTGTGGGGATGACTGTGTGACTCTTCTGAATATGACTAACGATGAAATTGTATGATATCTGAAATATATGCCAAGAAAACTCTTTTAAAACGAAAAAACTGACCCGGAAAATGGCACCCAGAAAGACAAGGCCTGCCCGTCCAGTTCTGGCTCTCATAGATTTCAGGATATGTGCGGGGACTTTAAAAAGTTTATGGAAAAATGAAATAAAGGAAATTATTCCCCCCTGAAACTTTTGGAAGCTCTTTTGTATAAATGTCACGGTGGTCCAACCTCCTGCCCCCCCCAGGCCTTTTAAGGAGCTCAAGGCACTTGGGGTACACAGGCTGGAAAGAAAACTTCAGTGTAGCCGATGAAAACCCCACAGGCAAGTGCTCCAATACAGATTCCATGAGAGGATAAGAGCTCCTAGCCCAGTGCAGGCGGAGGGGCAGGGGAGGCCATGAGGGCTCTGGAAGCTTCCAGCAGGAAGTGAGGTACAAGCTAGGTCCAGTGAGGGGGGCGGTGTCAGATGGTGCAGTCAGGGTGTCCCATCCAGGGGACAGCCTAGGCAGGCCATGGTGTGGAGGGAGGCCCATGCAGGTAGGTGATCATGGGGGCCCCACAGTTCCAGGCTGCATCTCTAGGTGGGAGGGTGCTGAGCTGGGGATGGGAGTTTGGATGTAGCCCTGAGGGCAGTGGGAGGCTAGCAAGTAAGGGAGTCGCCTAAGGAGATGTCTACTTTTTCGAAAGAAGAGTTACAGGTGGTTGAACCTTTTGAGGCAAAAAGCAACGGTGGCCTGGACCAGGGTGATGGGGGTGGGCTCAAGGAGGTCACAGGGCCTCTCGATGGACAAGATGAACAATGTGTGTGTGTGTGTGTGTGTGTTCAAATACTGGTACCTGGGCTTGGACACCCTCTTTTCATGCCAAGGGAACAAGGAGTTCTGTGACCAGGGACCCAGCCCATCTCTCCTGAGCAGGAAGATCCCAACCACAGGGTGAGTCCACAGGCCCCCCCTCCCTCATTTCCGCCTGAGACGCCTCTGGTCCCCATGTGGGTCTGGGACCGTTCTAGGCCCCGGTGAGATGCAGGAGAGTAATATGATTCCATTTTTCCGAGTCACCTAGGGAAGCCAAAAGAACTCTAGGGTGGAGACCCAACAGCCCTCTTTCCCCTGTGTGCATGGTAACCCGGTGGGTTACAGGTGGGCCTGCTAACCACAAGGTCAGCTGTTTGAGACCACCAATCATTAGATGGGAGAAAGATGAGGCTAGTGCCTCCTGTAAGGATTGTCTTGGAAACTCAGTGGGCAGTTCCGCCTTGTCCTGTAGGGTCCTTGTGAGTCAGCATGGAGGCATTTTAAGTTTGTTTTGGGGTTTGCTGTGCTCCTGTGGAGTTGTGGTTTGATCCACAGAAGCGGCAACACGTGGCTCAACACCCACCCGTGAGCCTCCAGGACTCTCGTGGAGCCTCCAGGAGGCATGCCAATAGGTGGCACTTCGAGGCATGTGGCTGGCTCCTGGCGGGGTAGGACTCTCCGGAATGCAGATGGAAATAGCTCAGGGAAAGAAGAGGAGAGGGGGTGGGGTGGGGTGGGTGGGAGCGTAAGGCTCTCCAAGCCTCCCCGTGCCACTCAGCAAGAGACAGACGGAGAACTCACACAAGCTGGGAACATGGTTTGCTTATTTCTGACTCACCGGGGAAAGCAGTGGAAAATTACCACTCTCCCGCGCTCTCCTTCCCAAGAGGGAACACTGGTTCTTGGAGGAAGCTCATTGCCTGGGTGGGTGGGAGGGGGGAAATGAGGGAGAGGGGACGGTGCTATAAACTGGCAAGATCCCAGGGGCTCCTGCCTGTGGTAAGCTCCCAACCCCTCCCACCTCTCCTCTCCAAGGTCCCAGCCCCTCCCACCTCTCTTCTCCAAGGTCCCAGCCCCTCCCACCTTCCTTTCCCCGCTCCTGGCCCCTCCCACCTCTCCACTCCACGGTCCCAGCCCCTCCCACTTCTCACCTCCAAGCTGAGCCCGCCCCCTCCCCCTCCCCCATTCCTGGCTCCACGCTCCTCACTGGGTGCTCCTGGTCCCGTGCGTGGCGGCCTCGCTGGGCAGGCAGCGGGGAGCGGTGCCGAGTGAGACTTCAGGCTGCCGGATGCTGCAGCCCCAAGAGCGACCCCTGCCTACTGTACGGACCAAGACCGTGCAGGCCAGATGATGGGAAGGACGAAACATTCGTCCCCTCCCCGCAGAGCCATCTGTGTGTCTCCTGCCCTCCCGCGTGGCGCTCATTTGGGGGAACAGCGCAGGGCACTTAAAAAAAACCCCACACCTCAGACCAGGAACCTGGCCTTCTGCTAGCACCACCGTGTCCTCCCCCAGTGGCCAGCGAAACCGTAGCCACTCAGCCACCTCTGTGGACGTGGCCCCCACTCTCAGCGACCCGACGTGCAGAGAACGGTCTGAGATTGCGAATCTCTAGGGGAGCTGACAGCCTGTCTTTCATGCAGCGACAGGTTTGAACGGCTCCCCGTAACTGAGCTAAAGGGACTAGTGTGTAGTTATCTCAGTGAAGACGTGGAGGAGGAGGGGGAGAGAGCCAAGTCCCTCCACCGGAAGGGGGGCTTTGAGCTGCTGAAGAAAGACAAGCAACTGAATCCCTGCCTTGCGAAATCATGGCATCCACAGGTGGTCCTGGGGACAATTTTGGTGGCAGTGCCTAATTCCTGGAAAGGCCAAGAGCAAGGTGCAGGCCGACTTCACTCCAACACCATGCCACAGGGTCCGGGTGCATCCTTCCGAGCTTCTCACTCACCCAAGATCACCGAAAAAGAGCAACAGTCTTATGAGTGGGTAAGGAGTTAAGTCACGCCCCTGGCCACCAGTCTGTCATCCTGGGTGGGTGGGGGTAGCATGTTGCTGTGATGCTGGAAGCGATGCCACCGGGATCTGGGACACCAGCAGGGTCACCCCTTGGTGTGCATGTCTCAGCAGAGCATCCAGGCTTAGACTGGAAGAAAGGCTGGCACCAAAGACCCTGTGGGTCACAACACAACATTGCCCCTCTAACGTACTGGGGGAGGAGCCCTCTAGGCTGGAAGGCACTAGGAATGCACACTGCGGCCGCGGCAGTGAAGGCAAGCGAGAAGAGGGAGGGCCAGAGCCAGGCAGTAACAGGAGAGAAACTACACCCAGAGAACTGCGAGCAGCGCCTGGTAACGGGATGTTGGGCCGCAAAGTGGGGCCCCCCATCCTCCTGTGATCCAATGGCTGCGTCGTCTTGGGCAAGTTACTCCCCTTTCCTGAGGCTGCTGCTTCGTATGTTAAACGGCGATTCAGACTAAGTACACACAGTTCCCAACTTAGGGTGTATTCAAGGTATGATAAACTAGACTTTTGAATATTACTATCTTAGCATGAATGCTATGTACAACATACAGTATAGGGTAAAGGTACCCAATGGCCATGCAGGGCAAGCATTAAGACTGTTAACCTCAAAGTTGTTGGTTCAAACCCACAAGCCACCCCCAAACCTCCCCCCATGAGGTTATTTGCCCCTGTATAGATAGATTTACAACCTTGGAAACCCTGTATAAGATCACCATGAGTTCAAAGAGACTGGATGGCGGTGGGTTTGGGATGCTGTCAAGACTCAATAAGCAAAATGAGCACCGACTGACTTGGCTTTCTGACCAATCTGTGGTGAACAACTCACATTTTTCACAACATCCAAGAGGTGGTTCCCTGGCATCTGTCTCTTCCCAAACCCCAGAGCTCCCTCCTACAGAATCAAAGCCTCTTGAAATTCACAACCCCCGGCAGGGACTGGAGTGTCCGGTGTGCGAGGTAAGCACGGGCTTGCGCGTGCTTCCTTATTAATCTGCAGTGCATGCGTTTTAAAACCACGTGAACATGTTTGCCGAGCATCAGAAAACAGACCCAAACCCACGTGAAAATGTCTGTCACGCATCAATAAACAAACCCGAAGCCATGCTTACCTCGCATAGTGGGCACTCTGCCGACCGACCACAAGCTCAGCTGATGTCGTCACACCTGCAGATTTACACGTCCCGTTCCCAAGTCCCAAAGACAAAGTAAGATGGGATTTATAGAGATCATGGTAACTAAAAGGGAATCAAAATAGAAATGAAAGAAAAGACACCAGGCTTCCAGCTGGTTCCTTCCAGTCTGACCTCCGACAGACTTCCCGTCTTTTAGTGGAGTCCCGCTGGTCTAGAGGGCTACATGTCCGGCTGCTAACCGCAAGGTCAGCAGTTCAAAACCACCAGCTGCTCTCTGGAACAAAGGCAGTTAGTCTCAGAAACTTACGAGTTTCTACCCTGTCCTCTATAGTTGCTATGAGTTGGGAGTCGACTCAGAGGCAGCGAGTTTGTTTTTCAAAAAAACTTCAACAAGAGCCCCAGGTGATTCTTATGCATACCGAGGAGCTTGCTAAAATGACTCAAATTCAGTACACCTGGGCAGCAAGGCAAATTCTCAGCAAAGGGTTGCTATAGAACCGACTGGGTCCAAGTCCTGCTTGGGGGAAGAAGGACAAAAAGGGTGTTCAACGTATGCCAGAACCAACTATCCACAGATCCGTCAGCACAGAATCCCGAGGTAGTTGGGGACACGTTGGACCCTCCCAGCTGGCACAGGCTTAGGGCTGGAGCAGGAGGGAAGCTTATGCTCCTTGGCAAACATGTCCTCTCTCTTCCAGGGAGGTGTAGCGATTGCACCTGATGTTCTAGAACACTCCAGCGCGGGCCCTCTCCGAGCTCCACGGCCCTTGGTGAGCACAGGCGGGGCTGAGGGGTGAGCGCTGGCTTCGGGGACCTCCACTGAAATCGACGTGGAACACGCAGACGGCGAGCCTGTCTGCCCAGCACTGAAGGGACACAGCGGGGGACCAGGCTGGGCTGATCCTGCATCCGGAGCAGCCATGCGGTGAGCGAAGGCTGGAATCCCCGCCGAGTGCGGAGCCGGCCGCCCTAGTGCGCAGGCGCGGAGCTGGACGTCAGGGTCTCCTCTGAGTCGGGGCAGGGAAGCGGGGCGCCCCGGGAGCCCCCAGACTGCGGAGGAGGGTCGCCCCGCCCGCCCGCATGGAGAAAGCTCTGTGGTGGCAGAGCTGTCAAACAGCTTTGTGCCCACGTATGACCAGAATATAAAATGCCTTTACCCTGTAACTGCACGCCATTGATTCTTTACAGGGGCGCCCTCCAATCCTCAAGACCCCCGCTCTCAAGTTGGCCCAGAGATTAGAGAGAAAGACCGCCCGGAGGCCTAAATTGGCGGTGACGCCCTTGCGAGGGGATGGGGGCTCGGTGGACAGACTGCCTGGGTGGAAAACCCTCATTTCTCATCCATCAACAGTGCTGTCAAGAATTCTAGGGGCTAGAAAGTTAGTCAGGAAAACAAGGCACGCGACAGTGCACCCCCCACTTCTGGAAGGTTCTGAGGAACAGTGCACCCCCGCATCCCCCAGGTATACACGCTGGGCTACCACCTGCACGCTCCCCTTGTGGGACCTGATGGTGTGACATGGGCATTGAAACCCATCCAAGCTGTCTTCTCTCAAAGCAGCCAGAGTGCTCTCAAATATATATATACACACACACATCACTCCCCCCACCCCACCCCTGCAATCTCTGCAGTACTGTTCTCACAAACAAGGGAGAAAGGCGGCTCCCACTCCCACAAAGTGACAGTCTCGGACACCCACAGGGGCAGCTCGACCGAGTTCTATAGGGTCACGCTGCATCAGAATGGGCTTGGTGGCAGCACAGGTGTACAGTCCAGTCCTCCCAGACTGGCAGGGAACTCACAGTAGAGAGGTACTCCGAGTACTACTTGGGGCCGGGAGAGCCAGACTGGGGAGCGCTGGCACGCTGACGTCAGAAAACGGGCCAGAGACCTCTCCCTCGCCAGGTCAGGCTGGGCTGGGTTCCGAAACGAGACGTGGCAGCCGTTTGGGTGGTTTCTCTGGGTAAGTTCCGTTTATTAATCATTGTACAAAAAAAAAAAAAAAAATCCTGGCATTCATCTGAAAAGAAGCTAATATATCCAAATATTATGTATCTTAACATTGTGAAGCTCTACTTTTACAACAGGATTTTTTTGGGGGAGTGGGAGGAGTGTTTAGGTGGAGAAAACTTTTGGAAAAAAAAAGTTTAAAAGAAACTTATGATTTATTAGTGTACAGGATCCAAAAACACGTTTTTAGAAAAATATAAAGTGCCCAAATACCAACTTACACAAGTAATACAGGCTTCCGAAAACCAGATGAAGCATTCATGAAGAAACACATTAAAAAATACTCTAGGTACATATTTACAGTGGAAGTGAGGACAAGTGAAAGCAGTTTTCTTGGATGTGACATCTCTACAGACAGAAAGGAAATGGAGCCAGAAAACCCACGCTCTTCAACTCTCGCTTGTATTCCTCAGCCCTGGGTCAGCCATGCTACCTGCCCCCAGGACATGAAGGTAGTGTTAAGATTCCCCCACAACTGCAGGTGGGCCCGGGGTGGTGAGTGGTCAGTCACGCATTCAAGAGTGAACTGGACTTGGGATTTGACCGGGGAGTGGCGTACGCGTGGCCGGCCAGGATCTCCAGCTCTTTCTAACAAAACGGCTGTGGCCTTCCCTCGCCAGTCAGTGGTCTCTGGAGGCTTGCTCAGCCTCGGTCACCCCAGGATTTCCCAGGTGTGAACCAAGAGCACGTCGGGAGAAGACTGCACGCACACTGACAGGCAGGCAGGAGCTGGGTTCACGACGACAGAGGCTCGCTGGAGCACGGTGGGCCTCGGGGCCGAGCTGCGTAAAGACTCGGTGGCCCCACACCTCACACGGGGCTAGTCTGCCTGTGAGACCTCATGCGGACAGATGGTGCCCAAGTCCTTTCCCGCCGGTCCAACGCTAAGACACACTTTCCAGGGGTGCCACCCTGTCACCTTTTAAAGAGGGTCTTGAAGGGTGACCCTGGTTCAGGAGTGACGAGGGGTGCCCTGACCCCTACCTTTTCTTTAATGTTTAAGGTTCAATATTTCCTCTGATTACAAACGTGAACCCTCAATCTTAGGCCTTGAGAAACCAAGCAGCATGTTGTCTAAGCTTTTCAACGACTACTGACAGAGCCAAGTGCTGATTTCAGACCTACCTGGGATATAGATTTTCCCAACCGAAAGGAAGTCAGGAAGGAAGAAGTCATTTTAAAGAGAAGAATACTGCGTAAAGGTGGTTCAACTCCATTGACAAGGGCCATCACTGTGTTTTCTCAAAGAACGACACATCATAAATCGGTAGAGACATAGGTGTAGATCCAAGAAAGGGACAGGGAAGGGAAACTCTCAATTCAAATACAGAAGATAAACACCGAAACGCGGCGCTTCAAACGGAGACAGAACGGACTCCGAGGATTTGAACTCTGTGGCGTTTGCTAATGCCCCCCGCCCCGTCTCCCAGGTGCTGGCAAGATGGTGGCAGGCGGCTTTCCTTCTGAACATGCAACTAAAATGCAGGTGCTGCCCCGACTCGGGACTGCGCAAGCCCCGCCCGTGGAGAAGCGTGCAGCCACCTGCCCACCGAATGAGGTGTCCGAGGACACATGTAGACAGACACGAGGGGTGACGATGCAGACGGGAGGGTGTCTGTCATGGGACCTCACGAGGACAGATGCCATGTGCTGTCACCACAGGCCGAGCATTCAAGCCATGCCGCTGAACGCCGGGCCTGCCCTTCGAGCTGATTCACTAGTGTGGGCGGAGAGCAGCAGTGTCTTAGCGGCAGAGCGGGGGCAGCGAGCAGCGTGGGTGGTGGACGCGTCGGAGGCGCGGGTTTCTCCCGGCATCTGGTCCTCGCAGAAGATGGCAGGGGCACGGCGCCCTCTGCGTGACCTTACTCGGCGCTCTCCTTCTTCGTGTTGTAAATATTCGGCACCGTTTCGTAGACAAACTCCAGGTCCTCGGGGTACCGGATCTCGAGCTCAGCGTTGGGGATGTAGTGGGTACCAGTGAACTCTGAGAAGTAGCGTCCGACGTCCGGGTGTGAGATTTCTTGAGGCTCCAAGTTATATTCCAAGTTCTCTGTTGGGACAGAAGAGCACAGGGACACACTTGGTGATTTCGGCAGCAGCCAGAGAACTGTGCTGTGCCCCATTCGGGCAGCATTTCCGGGGCTTATGGGACAGGAAACATGAACAGGAAAGGCAGAGATGGGACTGGGGGGAGGTGACAAGGAAAAGGGAGTCCTGGAAGCACAGGGCTCAATGCTGTTCCGAAGTCAAGTGTCAGCGGTTCGAATCCACAAGTCACTTGGTGGGTGAGTTAGTTATTGTGCCAACCTGGCCGATCAACACATCTGGGATTAATTGAAGGGCAGAGCGATGAATGGGTCCATGAGCCTCACCTTTCTAGTTCTCGGGTCTCTTGCTTTGTGATGGTCACACTAGGGTGCAGCTGCCTTAGCAGTTCCCTGCTTCAGCTTGCAAGGCTGACTTCCAGCAAGACACCCCCAAAGAGAAGCCACATGGACCGACCCTGATGTAGCCCTGAGATACTGACACATTCACTGACTTGGCTTTCCTCCTGCAGTCGGCGTCATTGCGTGTGTTTTGTGAGATGGAGGAGGACTTTGTGAACTGGTGTTGGACATATGGGTTAATGTTGGACTTGTGGGCTTGGGCAGCACTGGGTTGGGATGTTTTCTTGATGCACACGTAGCCTTTATATAAAATTCTCTCTTAGACATGAGTTTCTGTGGATTTGTTTCTCTAAGTACCCAGCCTAACACAGTGGGAGACAGATGGGGCTGCCTGCTTCCACAGGGAGCACAGCCTGGGAAGCTCCATCAGGGCGCTATGACTCGGAATCAGCCCGGCAGCAACAGGGCAGGTTTTAGTTTTCTGTAGGAAGTAAGACTCTTTAAAACGGAAGGGCAACAGACAAAATCTGAGGGGCTGAAAAGGCAGACACCGTCCCGGTGACTCCCTCACACGAGAACGACGTGCAGGTGAAGGCGCCC